AACCTGGTATAGGATTTCCAAAGAGTGACTGGTGGGTTTGAACCACCAGTCTTGCAGTTAGCAGGTCATCGCTTATCAAACAGTAGATGGTCATTAAAAGCTGCCTAGATCCACAGACATTCTCCTAACTTCTCCATGACTCAGTTGTAAAACTGAGTTTTTCAAGAATTTTTTTTCGTTAAATAGCTTTTATTGTGAATTGAGTGCCCATTTGTTTACATGGGAGAACATCAGTTTTACACTCATCCTATCGTATGTCATTTCATTGCAATGATTATAGTCCTCTCCATGCATCACCATTCAACAGTATATGCTTCTATTCCCTCTGTTTTTTGTTTTGTTTTTGTTTGTTTGTTTTTGGATGTACAAAAAAACACTCAGGAATATATAATCATTTAAACAACCAAAGGGCACATTCTGCAAGCCTGCCTCCTGGCCGCCAGCACACAGCTTTTCTCTTTCCTTGAGTCTAGAGTCCTCAGCTGCTCTCTCTCCGTGTCTCCATCTCTGCCTCCATCTCTGGTGTCACTGCTTCTCTGGATAGGGTCCCAAATTCCGCTTGTGCTCTTCTCCCTTGATGGTCCTAGCGTCCTCTGTTCCTGGACTGTAAGACTAACTACTCTCCCCTTTATGTTTTAAAACTTCTACCTTTATAGTTGTGACAGTAGCAGTTAGTTATGATAACAGTTACTCACTTATGAATCATAAGAATCTTATCCCCATCTCCTTTCACCAGACCCGTCTAAACAAGATGGAAACTCCAGTGGGGATTCTTCCTTCCCCTGCGCACTCTGAAACTAAACTCCCTCTTGGAAACTTGTAAGCCAGCCACTTCGTGCCTTTATGACCCCCCACCCCACCCCCATTTTAGGTATTCAATGCCTAAGTTGCCCATCTCTATCAACCCTTTGTACAGAGGAGATAAGTTTGATCCTTGATGTGAAGATTCCTTCCCTCTTAGTTGGTATTTTGAGCTACTACATCCATAAATACAGGTCAAGTTCATCAAAGTGATTTACACTTGCTTCCTTTATCAAATTTCTTTGTCTTCTTCCGTTCGAGTTCTGATCATCAAGCCATCGAGGCTAGGTTGTATGGGTACTGTGTTCAAGTTTGGGCATTCTTGTGAGTCTCCCCTCACTTCATATCAGCTGGATACTTCACTCTTAGCTCTAGACCTCCGTGGCTATGTTCTTGTCAGGAGTCCTCAGGTCTCACCACACTTTGGACCAACCAGCCCTTCCTCTTCTCTCTCTCATCTCCAGGTTGATGGGTCTATGGAACCTGGTCAAACTCAGCCCATATCTCCTAACTTCTCCATGCCTCATTTGTAAAACTGAGTTTTTCAAGAATGTTGTTTTTGTTGTTACATTCCCTCAAGTTAGTTCTGATTCATAGCAACCCTGTAAATCTGAGACTGTAAATCTTTTCTGGAGCAGAAAGTTTCATCTTCTCCCCTGTGGAGCAGGGGTTCAAACTACCAACCTTGTGGTTCACAGTCCAGTGTTTATTCACTGCACTCCCTATTTGAGAACAGCCTTGGGTTATTACAAAAACTAATATGAATATGTGTAAAGTGTCTAGAGGACTCCTGATGTGGTGCTGTAGGGTAAATGCTCGACTGCAAGGTCGGTGGTTCAAACTCACCAGCCGCTCCTCAGAAACCAAATAAAGGGTTGCTTGAGTTGGAAACAACTCGACAGCACTTAACAACATGACTACCTGCACCAAGAGTTGCAACATAAGGTATTTACACATTTCTGTTGTTTTTCCAATTTTGCTAAGATTAAATTAAATTTAAAATGTTTAAGCTTAACTTTTCATTTTTATTTTATTGTTGTCTAGGTCAGAAATGTATGTTGTGATGTCATTTGGGGATTTGTGACTAATTTTGGGTATGTCTAATTTCTAAAAACAACTGATGGAGTACAGTAGTCCTTCATAGGTTTATTTATACATTGTTCCTTTGTTGTGAATATGTTTGTAGAGAAATGTGGTTGGCTATGTACCAAAAAGGAGCTCTGGTAGCTTAGTGGTTACAAGTCGGGCTGCCAACGTCAAGGTCAGTAGTTCGAAACTACCAGTGGTTCCGTGGGAGAAAAATGAGGTGTTCTGCTCATGTAAAGATTTACAGCCTCGGAAACCCTGTGCAGGGTCACTATGAGTCAGAACCAACTCCACGGTACTTGGCAACAACATGTACCAAAAAGAGGTCGTGGTGTGGTGCTGTAAGATAAGCATTGGACTGCAAGGTCAGTTTGAACTGGAAGGTTAGCAGTTCAGACTCACCTGCCACTCCTCAGAAACCCTATTCAGGGTAACTAGGAGTCAGAACCAACTTGATGGCCCTTCACAACAGTGTAAAATCCAGCCCTTTATATCCCAAGTGGCATTGCTTTGATTGGGTTTACTTAACCAAGTAGAATGCAGGTCAGCAAAGAAGTTCTAACTATAGTTTCAGACTTTAATTAGTTATCAAAATCATTTTGATAGTTAATGCAAACCAATTAAGACATAACCCGCTTTGGTTTGCTGTCATTTTCTTTAATTCATAAATTACAAGCTATACTTCTTACCAACGCAGGCCCGTGACTGGGTGCTTTGTGGTTTCAGCATTAGCTGAGCTATGCTAGCCTTCTGGGCAGAGGAGGTGGGTGGTACATAGTTACCACATGAATGTCTCACGCTTGGTTCCCTGCCAGACCCAAGGGGACAGGCAAGCATAGGCCAGGGCTCAAGAGTGTTCAAAATGCCTCCTCTTCTCACTATTGGAATTAAAAATGTGTTTAGATAATCAAGCTCCAACTCTTGACAAATATAGTAATGCTTCCATTTTAAATGTATGGGTGAGGGTGGAAAAGTCCCTTGGTGGTGTAATAGCCCTTATTACATCTGTACTCTGGGCTAGGGGTTTGGGAGATGGGAGATAACAGAGGGGAGAAAAAAGGCCAGAGGGAGAGGAAAGGTGTTTGAGAAAAGAACTAGCGGCAAGAACTAACGATGGAAATTGGTAGACTGTCCTTGCTGTAACTGGCCCCAAGCCGTAGATTCAATTCCTAAGAATAATGTTGCTTGGTTTATAGTACCCATCGCAAGCACTGTGGACTGATTTCCGTCTCCCATTTGGACTCACTGGTTTTAGCCTAGTGTCGTCTGTGTGCCCCGAGCCTTCACTGAAAACACTACAGGCTGTATACATTCCAGGAAAGGAGCATGGGGTCATATGTCACAGCTCTCACGATGCCTCCTGTGTCACTGCTGTGTTGTACAACAGTGTCTCAGGTAGCAGTTTGGAAGACTTAAAGGTTGTTGAAGTCGACAGAGGGTTCTGGAAGAATAGAGCCCCTGGTCTTGAGTATGGACAAGGCTTGCAAAACAGAGTAGATGCCAAAGGTCAGCTAGAAAGTGAGTTCCCCTTGATGGCTGTGGGGACCTTGTCACTCCAGGTGGTGGTGACAACATTTTGCAGCCCCTAAACAGCACACAGAAGGAGCTCTGGTAGCGTAGTGGTTACGAATCGGGCTGCGAACCTTAAGGTCAGCAGTTCGAAACTACCAGCCGCTCCGCGGGAGAAAGATGAGGCTTTCTACTCCCGTAAGGATTTACACCCTCGGAAACCCTGTACAGGGTCGCTATGGGTCGGAACCGACTCGACGGCACTTAACAACAAACAGCACACAGAGGGATTTCCATGGATTTCACTCCACGTAAGGAGTCCTGCATGGTGCTGAAGGATAAGCACTGGCCTGCTAACCATCACCTCAGAGGTTTAAATTCACCATCTGCTCCTCAAAAACCCTGAGTCCGGACTGAGTCCTAACAACAGCAGCAGCTCCATGTGAACCAAGTCACTGCCATCGAGTTGGTTCCGGCTCGTGGCAATCCTGTGGGACTGAGTAGAACTGCCCCTAGCGTTTCTGAGATTGTGCATGTTCATGGGAGCGGACAGCCTCATCTTTCTCCCACAGCAGCTGGTGGGCTGGAACCGTCAGCTTTTCAGTTAGCAGCCCAAGGCTTAACTGACTGCCAAAACAGAAGACCCAAGACTTTATGTGTTGAGGAGTCGGCCTACAGTGAACCTAGAGAATTTTTTTCTCCCATTCTTGTCCCTGGAATTTCAGGCCCAATGAACTAAAACAAAAACCAACAGCAACTTTGTATGGAAGGAAGCACTGATTCTTGACTCATTAATTAGGAAAAAAAAATTTTTTTCCACTCTTGTCATAACAGACTAACTTCTATAATGTAAAAGCTGTCCTGCAAATCAGTAGTACAAAGATTGGAGGAGCAATGTCACAGGAAATAAAATAACTCCTTTTGAGAAAAGATGCCTCGTCTCCTAATAAGAAAACATGACAGTTGTACTGGGACCCATTTCTCCTCAGTGGGAGGCATGTGGGCTGCAGGCACTCTCTCACCTGGCTCCTGGTGGGTCCACTCCCGCTCCTCCCACAGAGGACAGTTCAGCTCTGCTGTTAACAATTACAAGTGACATTCCAATTTAGGAGTTTCTGCCACCGCTGTCCTTTGATGTGTGGTGCCCACTGACATCTTGGTTTATAATGACAGAGGACTAGAATGGGAGATAAGTCAAGGAACCACCTGTCCCCCAGTGGGACACTGCGCTGCCATACCACCTGGGGAAGGTCTGTTGTGTTGGCCATCCTACATCGCACACGAGGCTGTGGTCCTGGCTCAGCATCCCGGAAACCAGAACCACCCCTGTGCTGCTGATGCTCAGCAGACGCTGCCTCCTCCGTGAACACGTGTGATGGCACTTTCTAGCATTTCTAGTTTGTCACCTCTGTGTGCTGTCCCAGAGCAGGAGCACATCGCACGCACATTGCCCTTTAGTGTGACTTCCCTTGTAGTTTGAAGTTGTTAAAAGATCACCCTGATCTGGTCCCTAACCTCAGTGTGCTGGTGTATGCCCTAGAGAGATGGTTTCCTCAAGCAGCAGTAAAAGGAAACTTAACTTTATGGCTTCTCATGTATTTCAGGGACAGACGTCTGCTTCAGCCTGCCCAAGTGTGTGACATTTTCAAGGGTGTCATTTTGGTGATCTGTTACTTCATGATGCACTACGTGGACTACTCCATGATGTATCACCTGATCCGAGGACAGTCTGTCATCAAGCTGTACATCATCTACAACATGCTGGAGGTAAGGGCCGTATCCCCCGGCTGGGCGGGTCGGCGCAGATGGCAGGTCAGGGATGTTTGTTCTGCTTATTGCTGCAGTGGAGGCAGTAGCGGCTGCTAACCGTAAGGTAGGCAGTTTGAGCTCATCAGCCGCTCTGCGGGGTAAAGTTGAGGCAGTCTTAGTGGGTCCTAGCGCCACCATAGGGCAGAGTCCGGGCTGCCGCTGCAGATCAGTGCGCTGCGTTACAACGCTGGCTGCAACCGCAAGGTTGGCGGTGCTTGCTCACCAGCCGCTCCTCAGAAACCCTATACAGGGTTGCTTGCTATGAGTCGGAACCGACTCAATGGCACTTAACAACAACAACATAGGGCTGCTAAGGAGTCTTGGTGGCACAGTGGGTTAATCATTGAGTTGCTAAATGAAGGGTTGGCAGTTCGAACCCTGCCCCCTTTCCACAGGAGAAAGATGAGGCTTTCTGCTCCCATAAAACCCTGTGGAGCATTCGACTCTGTCCTCTTAGAGTCACTGTGGGTCAGACTCCCCCCCACACTGTGGGTTCTACAGTATCGTCGGAGCACAGTAAAGTCTGCCTATCTTTCCAGATAGCCGTGAGAGGATTCTCCTGGTGAGTGGACAAGGTGGGGGCCACCCGTCCTCTGCTGTGAAGCTGCTCTTGCTCTGCTAGTGGATGTGGGCTTTCCTCTGCCCGGTGGTCAGGGAGCTGAGCCCTCCGGGTCCTTATACCCACACCCACATCTGGCTTTAGTCTCAGTGCACTTACCCTCACTTTGCCCACTCCCCAGTGGGCTGCGGAGACTGTGGGGGTAGCGTTTGTGAAGCAGGTCCCCACAGAAAGAGGAGCACAGGCCTCACCCCTTTTCTCCTTATGCTTTCTGAGGTACTCGTCCTGCCAGGGCCCTCCCGGTCTCCCACTTAGCGTTGTCCTCCTCAGACATACAGTAGCCCTCTGCATGGTGTATTATTATTATATCCAAGCATTGCTGATCAAAATGGCTTAAGTCCGTATTCCATTTGTAGACTGGAGTTGATGGTGTGGTTTAAGCATAGTGACCAAGAACCCAAGCTCTCGCCTAGCTCACATCCTGGTTCCATCACTTACTCCCTGGTTAGCCTGGCAGAGTTGCTGGGTGTCTCTCAGCCTCAATTTTCTCATCTATAGAATAAGGATACAGGGTTATTATGAGAATTGATGACAGTGCAAAGCAAGGACTTCACACAAGGCCTGGCGCTCGATGGGATTTCCGTAGATGGCAGCTCGTAGTCACTCAGCCTACAGATACTTAATCAGCACTTTGCATATGCCAGTTCTGTCTTTAGACCTGAAAGAAACAGAAGTGGGCAGAGCAGATAAACCCCTTGTTCTATGGACGGTCTAATCTAGAGGAGGAAGGTAGGTAGCAAGCAAGGAGATACGTGTGTTAGGAAGTGATAAATCCTAAGGTGGAAAAGAACTGGAGGATGCCATAGCCTGCGTGGAGTCTGTGAGACATGGGGTCTGGGAAGTCCTTGTAAGATGTGGCATCCCAGCTGAATCCTGAATGGTATGCCCCCCTTTTTTCTCTTCTATGTGCCCCTTTCATTTATGGTGCTATGTTCTTGACAGTCGACACAGAACAAACAACAAGTATTAGTTGTGAATCGAGTGGGTGAACATCGATTTGAATATTGGCGTTAAAATCAGAGGAAGGACACTTTGGATGTGCCACCCAGTGAGACTTTTCCTTACTGGGAGCAGGCATCACGGGAGAAAGCCTAGTTCTGATTCTACAAATGGCATGAGTGCTCCCTATGAGTCAGAGCCCGAAGAAGTCACCAGTAAACAGAGTCCTGCTCCTGGGGAACATGCTTTCTAGCAGGGATTTAAAACTCACATCTCCAGTATTGAAGGAGGTCTGAATTCAGCACCGTAAGTGGACTATAGAGCAACACCGTTCCAAACTTGTTCTTTTCAGGTGGCTGATCGTCTGTTTTCATCATTTGGGCAAGATATATTGGATGCTCTCTACTGGACAGCAACGGAGCCGAAAGAAAGAAAACGAGCCCACATCGGGGTGATTCCGCACTTCTTCATGGCTGTTCTCTATGTCTGTATCCTTTTAGACTCTCGGGAAATTCCTCCAGTCAGTGCATAGTCTCCATGGTTGCATTTGCTTAGCTTTGTCCCAGAGAGCGACGTGTATCTATGTAGACACATCTATGGAGCCCTGGTGGCAAGCTGGTTATTCACTCGGTTCTGTAGGATAAGCACTGGACTTTAACAGAAAGGTTAGAGGCTCAGATCTACCCAGCAACTCTGCTGGAGAAAGACCCGGCACTTGGCTCTCGTAGAGAGAACTACACGAGACAGCTCTACTGTCTCCTGAGGTCAGCATGGAATTGTGCCACATACTTCGTGAAGCCCCCTCGTATATATGCCTAGTGTGTATATTAATCCTGAAGATGGATGTGGAAATGTGTTTAGTTTTGGAGAAATTGGTCGTAATGATCATTGTAAATTATAGAACCTCACATTTACTGAACCCTTTGAACTACTAGAGAATGGTATTCAGCTCAATGTAACTGATGATAAGGAATGATTTTCTGTTGAAAGGGAGAGGCTGCACTTTTGTACATATTAAACACTTAAGATGCCTATAACTTTTTCATATTTTTATTGAAATTCAGTTCAAAATGATCTTGGTTTGTAGCCCTGTGCTTAAAATGTATAGAATATGTCTAGAAGTAAAATTTTAAGTGGGTTGTAAAGGAATCCTGGAGATTTTTTGTCCCCCTCCATTGGAAGGTTTTCTTTGGAGAATACATGCATGACTGCTTAAACTCTGCGTGTACTCTGTGTGTGTGCATGAGCACCGTCATGTATGTGCACACATGTACAGACACAGCTACTTGGGTTTGCTGTGGGGTCAGGCCTCGTCTACAGGACTGGGTCATGGGATTGTTTGTTCTTGGTAGGTAGTACTGACACCTGGGAGAAGTGGGAAGCACACTTGGAAGTGAAGGGTCTGAGCAGGCAGATCCCTGTGAGAGTAAAAGCTTGCTACAGATGGAAATAACCGAGTGAGACAGTTACTGTGGTCAGAGTCACCCACTGCTCCAGGTGTGCTCCCAGTGAGCCTGTGTAGCCTGGGAGTGGGGGGCGTGCCCTGCAGGGTGACAGGAAGGAGCCTGCCCATTCCCAGGCCTTTCTTGTGTGATATTCCACACCCTGAGGACCCAGTGGGGAGTGGGGCTCATTTCCAGACTAGCTTTTATTTTTTGTGATCTTTTTCCTTTTAGAAGGTGAATTGCATTAATTCACAAACTATATTCCTAAGTCTTTTCTTTCCGCGTTTACCATAACTTATTTCATCTCTTTTGTGCTCTTGTTTGAGGGCCAACTTCCCAAGCACCTCCAAGTGCTACAGATACTGAGGTGTTAACAGACAGCCCCTGCTCTGAAGCTACTCCCAGGAAATACGTGATGCATGTATTTCTACTGGTGTTGGTTCCAGCCGGGTTGTGTAATATTTTATTCTGTAAATGTATACCAACAGTAGCTAACAGGGAAGGTATAAAGACATAGCAGTACTTCTGTAAGACTTGGCTTAGAAAGCACTGTCATCTACTCCCTTTCCAGAGTCATATGCCAAACCCGTTGCTGTTAAGTCCATTTCAATTCCTAGTGACCATGTAGGACAGAGTAGAACTGACCCACAGGGTTTCCGAGGCAACAGAGCACCAAGCTTCCTCCTGCGCAGCGGCTGCTGGGGTCGGCCTGCAGACCTTTCAGCAGCTGAGCAGTTAGTTAGCCACTGTGCTCTCAGGGCTCTGGAAACTCGGTGTGTCTATTAATAACTTACACAAACAGACTTACGTTTTTTCCTTAACACCACTTACTGCTAGTTTTGCATGCGATTCTTATAATGGTTCAAGCCACAACTCTCAATGTAGCTTTTAACTCCCACAACAAGTCACTGCTTACTATCATGATGTCCAATAATGTAAGTATGAGTCCAGATTCTACGTCTCTGTCACTGTAAAACTGTGTACAAAAAATGAAAACCTAAACTGTCAGAAGAGCAGCAGGATCCCAAATGGGGTCAGATGCTCTGCTCTCTGTGTTACTTATTGATCGAGAAGAGTTAACTTTTATATGCAGCGTGTCCATTTTTAATAGCGTTAAAAAGATGCTATTTGTGTTTACTATTTCAGTTTGTTGAAATTAAAGGCAGTGTTTTCAAGAAGTTTGAGAAGAACAATCTCTTTCAAATGTCCAATAGCGGTATGTATGGTGAGATTCTGCCTGCAGCTCTGCTTGCTGTTACTTTGCATCTTGAAGCCCTCACCCTTCCTGTGGGCCACAGTTCTGTTAACTTTACCTATTTCCAGTGCATTTATATTGAGCTAATCCGCTGCACAAGACCTCGTTAAAGAGTTCAGGAGTGAAGATGAGAACTTTGCTGTGAAGATGAAGGTGGGCCTGACCTTTGGGTATTTTTAGTCGCTTCATAGGTATGTGAAAGCTGGCAGTGAATAAGAGAGGTGGTAGGAAAATCAGTGCAGAAGTACAGCCAGGATGGCCAGACTTCGTCTCTCTTACTTCGGATATATTAGCAGGAGGGACCAGTCCCTGGAGAAGGACATCATGCTTAGAAAAGTAGAGGGCTGGTAAAGAAGAGGGAGACCCCTCACCCCTTGAGATGGAGTGACACAGTGGCAGCAACAGTGGGCTGTTGTGAGGAAGGCGTAGGGACAGGCAGTGTTTGCTTCTGTTGTGCGTAGTTACTTACACAACAGTCAGCATCTTTACTTGGCTTCTTTATTGTTTGTTGTTGTTGTTAAGTGCCGTCATGTGTAGGGTTTCTGAGGAGCAGCTGGTGGGTTTGAACTGCCGACCTTGTGGTTCACAGTCCAGTGCTGATCGTCCAGCACCACCCCAGGACTTCCTTATTAACATCTGGTATTGTTACCTCAGGTTGTTTAAGACAGTGTAAATGATTAAGGTTTGTGTTACATTTAACCATACTTTCAGAAGCATCTCATGAGTTCAGCCCTCCCTCTGAAACAGATGGTATTTGTCTTAGAGAAACGTGGATGCGGAACCACAGAGGAGGAACTCCGATTTCCCCAGGCCACACACACACAGCCTCACAAGGCAGCACCAGGATGGCAGACCCTGCTTGGCTCCAGCGTCTCAGCTCATTCTATTACAGCTCACTAAGGGAGTGCTCTGGTAGCGTAGTGGTTATGAATCGGGCTGCAAGCCGCAAGGTCAGCAGTTCGAAACTACCAGCTGTTCCGTGGGGGAAAGCTGAGGCTTTCTGCTCCCGTAAAGATTTACAGCCTCAGAAACCCTGTACAGGGTCGCTATGAGTCGGAGCCGACTCCACGGCACATAACAACAAGGGAGTGCAACAGCACAAAAGTCATCTCTGGAAACATTTGACAGGAAATGGAAGAGCGTAGGGCACGGGTTCTCAAAGTATGTTTCCTGGAACCCTGGAGCGCATCCTAGAGATCCTTTCAGGGAGTCCGCAAAGTCAGAGCCATTCTCAGGTGAACCTTCTGACGAGGGTCTCCTCGGGGGTTTCCATCACACAGACTTTCACACACTGGTCAGGTAGACAAAATTGGACAGAGGGAGGACAGCGGCCGCCACCTGAGGGGTCAGGCCCACGAGGCCTCAAGGAGGAGGAGAGTGGAGCTGATCTGCCGTAAGAGCTCAGACGACAGAAAACAACAGTCCTTAGACTTGGGCCTGGTACGTTCTTAAAGATGATGAAAGGAAAGAGTGGAAAAGTCTCAACAGTGCCTTATTTTCAAGGTAGTGTTGGCCTCCCAGATCACTGGGACCTTTATTAGCCTGGCCTGCCACTGGTGGACAGTAATGGGAGGAAGGCAGAGGGCTTGGCATTGATGCAGGAGGAGGTTGGAGGTATCTTCGTTTCTGTTTCCTCGAATTAGAAGCTAGGTCATGCGCTCAGATTGATGGAGATTTAAGGAGACACAGGTGTGTGCATTTCTAGGTGGGTGGGCCAGTGATGCACTAGGGCAGGACCCCACAAACTGCCTGTTTTCCTTATAACATTTGATCAGAGCATTGTTGTTAAGTGCTGTCAAGTATAGGGTTTCCAGGGAGGAGCTGGTAGGTTTGAACCATCAACCTTACGGTTAGCTGTCCAGTGCTAATCCTACAGCGCCTCCCCAGGACTCCGAGCATAGCAAGCCTCCTTTGTGAACACACTGTCTGCCGCTGCTTTTGCTCTCAAGCAGAAGAGTGGAGCATTTATAGCAGGACTTGCAGACTTCTCTCTGACCCTTTACAGAAAGCATCTGCTGATCCTTGGCCTAGGCTAGGGGTGTCCACAAGTACAGAAGGCCCAGTCTAGCCGGCAGCTGTATGTTCTCCTTCGGCCACATACCCCATCACTGCAGAGGGGGGGGATCAACGTAACTACGGTTAAGGTTTTGCCAGGCCAGGCTAATAAAGAGAAAGAGGAACGTGGCAGATATTAAAAGTTTACAGCAGGAAACTTGACTCTGGAGTCGGAGCTTCAGATGGAATGAGGTGTTGTGGTATAAACGTCTACTGTTGTTAGGTGCTATACAATGGCTTCCCAGGTATCACAACCCTATCACAACATCCTACCACCGTGTCAGTCTGTCTCGGGGTGACGGCTGGGGTGCTTCCTCTTATATGCTGACTCTCTACTTTATACCAAGCATGATGGCCTTCTCCAGGGACTGGTCCCTCCTGAAAAACATCTCCAAAGTACAAGACAAAGTTGCACCCTCTTGGCTTCTAAGGAGCATTCTGTCTGTATTTTCTTCCAACACAGATTGGTTTGTTCTGGCAGTCCATGGTACTTTTAATATATTCTCCAACACTGTAATTCAGAAGCATCGGTTTTTCTATGGTCTTCTTTATTCATTGTCCAACTTTCATAATATACTGAAGATATAAATTGTGTCCAAGTTGCATTTGCCCCAAGGAATGGAGGGATGATTTAATATTCAAGAATCAAATTAATGCTGCAGATTTATAGATCAAAGAGAAAGAGAAACCTGATAATCTCAAGTCAAATACAACATTCAGCAGATATTCCTGATAAAAAATGACTCTTGTTAAGTACCATCAAGTCAGTTCTGACTCACAGCGACCTTGTGTAGCGTTTCTGAGGAGCAGCTGGTGGGTTTGAACAGCCAAACTGCAGTTAGCAGTCCAGTGCTTATTCTGCAGCACCACACCAGGACTCCAGGATTAACAAGTTAGAAATAAAGGGAACTTCTCCAGCTTCAAAACACCATAGCTGTCATTGCAAGTTGTTGTTGTTAAGTGCCATCAAGTAATTCTGGCTCACAGCAAACCTGGTTGGTGTTTCCAAGGAGAGGCTGGTGAGTTTGAACTACCAAACTAGTAGTTTGCAATCCAGTGCATATCCTACAATGTCCTAAACCAGGACATCATACATGTTGTTCAATGTCATTGAGTTGGTTCCAACTCAATGACCTTGTATTGGGTTTCCCAGGAACAGCTGGTGGGTTTGAACCCCTGACCTTGTGATTAGCAGTCCAGTGCTTACACTACAGCGCCACACCAGTACTCCAACACATACTGCAGAAGTATTGCATGCTTTGCCCCGAAGATGGAGAACAGGTCACTGGGAGGTGGTGGAAAGGCAGGTTGTGGTCTGTGTTTAGTTGCGGGCGAGGGGTTGCTGGCACAAGTTATCAGAACTCATTGAATTGTGCACTTGAGATTTGTGTATTTTATAGTATATGAACTTTTCCCCAATGTTTAAAGAGGAAAATGATTTATTAACATATTTAAACAAATGGATTTGTTGTTGTAAAGTGTGATTGACTGGATTCCAGCCCATGGGGACCCCATACAGTGTTCCCAAGGAGCGACTGGTGAGCTTCTCTGTCAGCGGATTAACCCACAGTACCACACCAGGACTCCAAACAAATGGATAGTTAGCATTCTGTTGTGCTGGTTAAGTGCGCCAGTTGGGGTCTAACTGAGAGCGACCCTGTTAGGGTTTCCGAGGAGCAGCTGGTGAGTTTGAATAGCCAACCTTGCAGTTAGGGTCAAGCTTAGGTTACAGCGCCACACCAGGACTCCAGTTATTATTGCTGTTATTAAGTGCCATCCAGTCAATTCCGTTATCATTATGTTTGTTGTTGTTGTTAGGTGCCATCGAGTCAGTACCGACCCATAGAGACCTTATGCACAGCAAAGGAAACACTGCCCGATCCTGGGCCAACCTCACTACTGTTGCCAAGCTTGAGTCCATCGATGCTGCCACTTGGCCAATCCATCTCGTTGGGGGTCTTCCTCATTTTCTCTGACCCTCCACCTTACCAAACATGATATCCTTCTCCAGCGACTGGTTCCTCCTGACAATATGTCTGAAGTATGGCCATCTTGGACTCCAAGTATCATTCTGGCTGCACTTCTTCCAAAATGGATCTGTTGGTTCTTTTGGCAGCCCATGGCATTTTCAATATTCTCCTCTGACACCATAACTCAAAAGCATCAATTCTTCTTAGGTCTTCCTTATTCACTGTCCAGCTTTCGCATCCATATGAGTTTATTGAAAATACCATGGCTTGGGTCAGGCGCATCTTAGTCCTCAAGCCGACATCTTTGCTCTTTGACACTTTTAAAAGTTCCTGTGCAGCAGATTTCCTTATGCAATACATCGTCTGATCTCTTGACTGCTGCTTCCGTGAGTGTTGATAGTTGATCCAAGAAGAATAAGATCTTTGACAACTTCAATCTTTTCTCCATTGATAAGAATGTTGTTTATTGGTCCAGTGGTGAGGATTTTTGTTTTCTTGACATTGAGATGTAATCCATACCGAAGGCTGTGCTAATGAGTCTCCCTCCAATCCTGACGCCACGTTGTTCTTCTTAGAACCCAGCTTCTTAAGTTATTTGCTCAGCCTACAGGTTGAATAAGTATGGTGAAAGAATACATCCTTGTCGCACACCTTTTTTAATTTTAAACCATTCATTGTTCCCATGTTCTGTTCAAACCAACTGCCTTTTGGTCCATGTACATAGTTCTCATGAGCACAATTAAGTGTTCCAGAATACTCATACTTCGCAATGTTTTCTATAGCTTGTCATGATCCACACAATCGAAAGCCTGTGCTTAGTCAATAAATCACAGGTAAGTATCTTTCTGATATTCTCTGCTTTCAGCCAAGATCCATCGGACATCAGCAGTGAGATCCCTCGTTCCAAGGCCTCTTCTGAATCCAGCTTGAATCTTT